ACAAGAGGGTTATATCTGAGTTATACCCTCTGTAACATCCGTGTAACTCCCATGTAATATCCGTGTAACTTATTTGTTCCCATAAAACTACAGAAGCACGGAACTCATTTATAGATTACAAGTAGATTATAAAGAGCTTACGTGAGGATTATAGAGGGATATAACCCCGATATAAACCCTATACCCCTGAATACCTCTTAGGTAAGCAAATATTTTCCTGAATACCTCTTACGTAAAGCAAATATTTTCCGCTCTTCTAAATTGTCCTCGATTTTATCGTCCACATTTCTACTCTCCCAACTTTAACAACCCAACCGGCACCATTCTCTCCCATTTTTTTGTTTCCTTCATTCACGAAACCCCATCAAGGATCAGGCTTTCTCCTCAATCCTCAGGTTTACCCCGTGCCAGATCTCGCTAATTCGAGCTCACTTACTTTGGAATGGCTCCTCGGATGTTTTCCTTGTGTTCTTAGATCAAAATACGTTTGTTTTTGTTGTTTCTTCTGTTTTTCTAGATTATTTATTCGAAGATGGACTCAATGGTCATGTTCAAGTCCATTAGCTCGATGCAGGTGAGTTCTATGAATCTGTTGGACCTTTTTGATATGCGCATTTCTGCATAATTGGAACTTATCCTATTCTTTTAGTAGTATTTGCTATTGTTCTCTGGTTTATCATGGGAAACGCTTTAAAGTCGATGTTAATGCTGTCTGAACTTAATATTAGACATCCGGCGACGTGTTATGGGCGTTTTCACTGCTCCTAAACGATTCCTATTACTGGTTTTGTTCTTCTGAGCATTTTTTTGGTGCTGGAATGGCGAAATTTAGCCTCTTTTTGCGTGATTCTGAATACCTTGTCCTCGATTTTATCGTCCACATTTCTACTCTCCCAACTTTAACAACCCAACCGGCACCATTCTCTCCCATTTTTTTGTTTCCTTCATTCACGAAACCCCATCAAGGATCAGGCTTTCTCCTCAATCCTCAGGTTTACCCCGTGCCAGATCTCGCTAATTCGAGCTCACTTACTTTGGAATGGCTCCTCGGATGTTTTCCTTGTGTTCTTAGATCAAAATACGTTTGTTTTTGTTGTTTCTTCTGTTTTTCTAGATTATTTATTCGAAGATGGACTCAATGGTCATGTTCAAGTCCATTAGCTCGATGCAGGTGAGTTCTATGAATCTGTTGGACCTTTTTGATATGCGCATTTCTGCATAATTGGAACTTATCCTATTCTTTTAGTAGTATTTGCTATTGTTCTCTGGTTTATCATGGGAAACGCTTTAAAGTCGATGTTAATGCTGTCTGAACTTAATATTAGACATCCGGCGACGTGTTATGGGCGTTTTCACTGCTCCTAAACGATTCCTATTACTGGTTTTGTTCTTCTGAGCATTTTTTTGGTGCTGGAATGGCGAAATTTAGCCTCTTTTTGCGTGATTTCATATTTATGCTCGAATGCTGACGAGCAAATTTACTGGAAAAGCAGCTTACTTACATGCTTGTGCTGGAGAAGTGATCAGCAAGTTTTGCTTAAAAAGTTAGTGGTTGAACTTTTAGAGGAAGAGATAGAGAGAGATAATTCTTTGAATTACTACCTACCTGTACTACGTGTAATGCATTTGAAGAAGTAAGGGGCTATTTGGGATCACTTTTGTTTTTTCTTTTCAAATTTTTGTTTTGTTTATGTCTTGATTTGAAACAAAATATTTTGGTATGTTTGATTAAGATTTGATTGTTTTTGAAAATACTCAAAGCACCTAAAAGTTGTTTTGAGTGTCTTCAAATATGTTTACTGTTTTTAGAAACAATAAATAAAAACATGTTAGAAACACATTAAACAAACTTGTTTTTAAAAATAAAGGAAAAAAAAAAGACCCCAAACAAGCTTTGATTGTTTTAAATTCAAGAGAGATTTAGAGATGGATGGATGGAAAATTTTTAAAAAAATTATATTTTTTTTAAGGGTCTCCCTTCCAAAAGTCTCAGAGAAGGTAGCTTCTCTCGACCTCATCAACAATCTAGCTAGCATGGCTGAAATAGGGGGCTGATGGATTACAATTGGTGTGGCCTTTTGATTGTGATCAACCAAGGTTTTGAATTATTGTGATAGGGTTTTTTCGTAGTATTTGTAGCCTTAAAAGTTTTGGTGGTGGAGGGGAGAGGGTTTAGCCGAGTCGAGGTGATCAGCCATAAGTTGTAGTAAACCAAAGAGCAGCTTGGGTTTATAAAATGTGGTAGAAGTATAGTGGTGTTCGATTGAATTGGATGAGTTAGGAGAATGTGTGGAGGTTAACTTTGGAGTTTGTGGAGAAGTTCCTTGAAGTTTAAGGGCATATAAATGGAGGATTCTTAGGAATAGGTATTAAAAACTTTGATGTGGTCGATTGCCTTAGTTTAAGTTTAAGAAATATGGGGAGGCTGGTGCGGCATCTAGCTGTTAGAATGACTTGGAATGGTTGGGTGGATGTGTGGAGGATTGTCGTGGAGTTAATGGCGGGAGTCCAAGAGCTTTATAGGCTTGTGGAAGACAAAATCTAAAAACTAGGTTCAATTTAGCTATTCTTGGCTGATAGCTACTAGTTTGGGTTTAAAAATTATTTTGTAGATTGTAAAGGCTAGGAGAAAGGCTTAATTATCTGTGGATGAGGATTAGGGATAAAGAACAACACAATAACAAATGATAGCAAGCCCTCCCTCCAAGTAGATGCCAGGATGGCTACCAAGCTCTAACCATAGAGACTTAATTCTTAGTTCTTTTTCAATAAGCCAAAATTGATGTACATTCATCTCTAGTTATTATTTAAATATTAAATCAATCCTAAATAATTCTAAGTTTGAAAAGCTAAGAAAAAAGAGAGAGAGGGGGCCAGTTTAACAAATAAAAGGAAGAGGTGTTAACCACTCCAACCACCTCCTTTGTTTCAACTAAGCCTCAATTTTGAAAGAGGACGTGCTTTGGCTGGCCTACGGTGCTCTAAAAGTGTTATGAAATTATTCTAAATGAAAGGAAATAACATTCAAAGGTCTACATAGAAATTTTAAGATTTAAGAGTTGAAATTTCAAAATTTAAAGCTTACATGTAAGGTTGGCAAACATTATAAGCAGATTTGTTGGAGATCTGTAATTTATACTTGTTGGAAACATTGAGCAAAATATTTATATGATAAAATTTAATTTAATTTCATTATTCATTTATTATTTTATTTTTTTGATTTAATTCCATTTTCAATTGTTTAAACATGCTTGCGAAGATGTGATCTACGTGATCGGGGTCCATTCTTGGTTGATTTGATTTTTTTCTTTGTTTATTTTACCTTTGATTTTGTTTGATGAGTCTTGGATTATGCTAGTTGTTGATTCTATCATTTGATTGTTCATTACCCGAGAACAATTACAATTAAATTTCTTTAGTTGTTTATATGTCGAGCTCAACTATATGGACTTCTACTACTTGCATCAATATGATATTTATTGCTCTTCCTTGTCCCGAGTATTTGCTAGTTTTTTCGCTAGAGAAGTCTTTTGTAATTGTTATGCTTATCCATCAGGTAGCTTTAATTTGTTTATTACTATTTTTGTTGTGTTTGACTTCCATTTTGAGGGATTATATTTAGTATCGTATGGCTTAACCTGACTTGTAATAGTGAAATTTCTAGGGTATGGGACTTTAAAAGAATTTAAGGCTTATAAATTAGATAATTTTGGCATGCTATTGAACCTTTTGCCATTAAAATTTCAAGTACCTTCTAATATTTTGTTTAATTAGTTGGATATTGGATTTCTTCAAGTGCACTGCAAGTGCAATAATCAAATTCTAAGGGAGGTTATCTTCTTAGATTGGCATGAGGCATGCATTTTTTTCTACTTGTTGAATACTCATTCTCTTTTTTTTCCATGTAATGCTGTATTGGTTTTGTAAGCTTTATTGATTTTAGTCAATTATGTTACTACATAGTTTTCAATTGTGGTGTGAGTTTCAATTGATTTGCAGATTTTTGGTGGTTTTCAATTTTTTACTTATCTTCTTTGGTTTAATTGATCATTAAATTATTATTAGTCATGAGTCATGACATTCTCATATTTTTGAGTTTAGATCAAAAGAAAGTGAGTAGTTTTTAATTGGTCGTATTTGAATTATGAATTACCCATTTGTATTATGTATTTTAATACACTGTATCATTTAGTTACATTAGGAACCCTAAAAGATGTTTTCATTAGTTTGTCATAAAGGCATAATATTGCATCTTTATGTCAACTAAAAGTAGGATTTGTAACCGAGTCAATAAAAAAACATAAGAGTAAAACAACATTAAGGCTCTGTTTGGCGCAGCTGTGGATTATTTATACTCTGCTGATAAACAGATTATTCTGATAATCTGATAATCTGCAGATTATCAGAATAATTTGGCTTGCTGTTTGGGGCAGCTTATTCAGACTAACTTATTGGTGGTTAAATGACATTCCTGCCCCTGTTTGATAAATTGGGTCAGCTTATTCAGAATAGCTTATTGGTAGAAAAGAAACATATAGTGCAGAAACATACGATAATGACATAGATGTTCTAAAAGATACCATACAGTTCTCACATCCTAACGAGTACCAGGAGAACAAAAAAAAGTACAAGTACAACAACAAGGAGAAATATTAAAATATTTAACTTAAGACTCTGGCTATGTCGGTCCTCAACTGTATTGTCAGCCTGAGAAAACATCAGATTCACATGACTGTTGATATGACTACTGACAGTGTAATATGCAGGACTATCAGGCCACCGGAAGAAACCGCAACGAGCTGAAACACCTCTGACACAATCATAGAACTGTCTCCCAAAGCTATGCTCCTTACGTGACGTTAGCAACGGAGACGGCAGTCCACAATAACACAAAATCCCTCTGTCTGTACCTGATATCCTGGAAGTCATGTTTGTATAACTACAAAAATAACAAAAGAATCAATGTCGGTTTAAGGTATTTTAAAAGTAACCAAAATTAAATACATATGAATATAAACCTATAACCTTATTAAAGGAAAATTTGGTAGATCAACAACCACAAATAGCATCTGTGATAGATTTCCTTAAAGCAATCATATTAGCCAAACCTTCACCTTCCTGATCTCTAGTGGTAGCAAATGATGGATCCTCCGGTTTAATTATTTTAGCTGCTAAGCTAACAAGAGCCTGTATGCCTTTAGAAAAGTAACGACTTATCGTTTCAAAAGAATGCTGAAATCTTTCCATAGCTCCTCTAATTGATTCATTTTGTGAAAGAATGTACAGCATTATAGCCAACACCTTCCTACACGTCGTTCTGGAAGAACCCTGTAGGCCGTGATTTAGGCATAACTCGAGAAAAAGATCCATAAAAATTGGTCCTGTCATTCTGAAAATATTTGTAAACCTTATTGGATGGCCAGAAAGCATTTCATCAACCCATTTGTCTCCAACAAAGCTGGATATCATGCGGGGAATGCGAGCAGTGCTACTCCTACAATATTCCAATAACAATATTGCAACGGCTGTAGCAAATGCCATTCTCCTATGACGTTCACGTTGCGGATCCATTCTAAATGATTTAAAATATAAACATTAATAGTCCACTATCCAAAAATTTAAAATGTTAACATAATGAGTCAAAAAACTCCCAAACACGAGAATGTAACATGCTTAAAAGTTCCAAATATATTAAAAATAAAACGACATAAGTCAAAGTTCAAATAGTGCAAATACATATACAATCCATAAAGAAATATCATTCATCGACCAAAACCCGCAAATATTCAAGACGCATTTCTGGCTCTAGTGCCATGAATATTTTCATTCTAGTTGAATCCTCAAGGTTTTTCACACACTGTGCGTGAAATCGCCTATCTGCCACAACTTCAGGAATAATACGCAAAAGTCTCAGACAGTCTAATATGCTCGCATCAGAGATAGGTGGAGCTGCAAAAACTTCAATCAAACGATCGAAGGAGGTGTTCAACAAACGTTCTTTCCCTTTATTTTTCTTAGCAACTCTGACTCTCTTTATTGTGCTAGAGTCACCCGTATCACTCTGTTTAATGCTAGACACTTTTTCATCAGGTGTTAATGACTAAGGAGTGAACTCATCTGATATCCCTTCAAAAGTACTTTGACATGGGTTAAAAGTAAATTTTCCTGTTGCGACAATCCATTTAAACATTATGTCCAGTTTTTCTTCAAATTCCGGCTCAATCCCGCAGTGCTTATACTTTTTCGCTGCTGGTACCGCTTGTGACAGAACATTTTAGGGCGAATAGTTAGAGAATTATAATTAGAGAAGAAATTTGGAATTAAAATCGAACAAATCACGTAGTATATATAAAATACCTCTAATTTTTCAGCTCATCATTCAGCGGGAGCATCAATTGTCCTTTTAATCGGATCCCAACCCAAAGCTGTAGATCCACATTTCAACTCCTTCCATATTTTTCATTCCTTCTTTAATTGATCCCATTTATTTTTAAATTTCAGCTTATCATAATCCCTGCCAGTCAATTCCTTGAATCTCTTTTCAATATTTCGCCACCCTTATTAAAAAACGTTGTTGGCCTGTTTCCAAGTTCTATTTCTTTTATACAAAGATCGCAGAAAATATTTGTTACTTCCTTATCTCACATTGCGGAGGTCCCCCCTTCAACTGATTTAGACATGATGAAGTTATGGAGAGCAAATGAGTATTAAAAAGAGATGATATTTGAAGTAATAATACGTCCAACACATGAACATCTCAAGCCCACAACAACATCAACCCAACAAGAACACCAGTCTCCAAACATAAACATTTGCCACCAACACAAACAAGAGCATAACAACTTGATCAATAACAAAAAAAGAAATATATGAAGAAACAAATGATTTATGTGGTTCGGTCATTGACCTACATCCACAATAAGACTTCAAAAATATTTTATTATGCAATTCCAAAAGGTTACAAGGCCAACTCTAAATACATTGATGTAATTTCCTTGCCTCTTGAACCGAGATTACCAAAGAAATACCAAAGCCAACTCTAAATACACCATAACCGAAAGCAATGCTGGCATTTCTGATTAGACGAATTTATGCAGCTGTAAACTTTGGTTAAGCTTAATCATTCGTGAACTAGCACACTACCATCATCAAGAGCCACATCCAAATCTAGCTACAACATCAGTTAACTTTCTGCTCAACCAAGATTTCAACTCACAAATAAATATGATCAAATCATAAGCATTAATTCAGTCTCTTATCAGTTCAACTAAGAATTACAAAAAATACCAAAGCCCAATTTCCTAATTCTAAATTTTAGAACAGCTCAAACCGAAATGTATTGCAATGACCCGAAAGCCAAACATTGATGCCACTACAATGAAACAAGAAGAATGAAGTCATTCCCCCAACTGTAAAGAATAAAGCCATTTCCCCAACTGTAAAGAATAAAGCCATGCTTTGATGGAACTAGCAACCACATTAATGGAAATCACCAATCGAATGAAGCCAAACAGTCAAAATAGCTAATTGCAATGAAACAGGGAGAACCAAGCTTTCGAATATGAAGGCAACAATGCATTATGCTATCTTTAAATGCAAAATTTCATAAATGCTAAACCTTGTCCCCATTCATCATCCTAAACTAGATTTTCTATAACTTGCAAGACACAGATAAGTAATCCAAGAACAACCAGCTAAAATACCAATAACGTATAGATCTGTAAATTAGCCCAATTTCCTAATTCCAATTTTCAGAACAACTCAAACCGAAATGTATTGCAAGGCACAAAAACTGTAAATATAGAACCAAACGAAGTGCGGCATATAGAACCGAAATATATTGTAATGTAAATGCACTGTAAATATAGAACCAAAGAAGTGCGTCATATAAAACTAGCAATCCGAAAAAAGGAGTGCGGCATATAGATCTAAATGCACTGTAAATATGTGATCCATTTCCAGAGCAAGATCTAAAAATCCCTAAATGTAAAAGCTAAAAATCCCAAAAAAGAAAATGTAAGGGCATAAAAACCAGAGAAGATCTATGGAGAACATTTCTAGAGCATATAGAAGAACCTAAAAAGCTTCGAAGTTGCCTTCTAGCCCTAAAAAGAAACCAAAGGAACACAAAAAAAAAAAACATTCGAGCCGCATATAAACGAACCAGAGAAGATCAAAGGAGTGTCATTTCTATAGTTTACACAAGATCTCACCAGAAGTTTACACACGAGAAGATCGTTAAAGGAGATCGCGGGGAAGAGCGCGAGAGAGAATCCACAGGGGCACAGGAGGAAAATAAGCCCTAGCCAACGCCGAACGGAACCCCTCCCCCGCGTTCGATGGATAGAAGTAAATTCGATACGCGATTAACGGCGATTTAAAAAAACAGGATTAAACACCGTTGCGGCAGCGTTTTCAAAACGCCGCCGCAGCAAAATAAGCTGACGTTCGGAATGCTTATTTCAAAACTCGTAAATTCGATACGCGATTAACGACAATTTAAAAATGCAGGATTAAACGCCGAAACAAACGCTGCGACAGCAAAATAAGCTGCCCCAAACGGGGCCTAAGTGGGTTTTTTCTCCGGGAAACAACAAAATAATAGCCGTGAGATTCAAAATTATATCTATATATAATAATATAGTATAAACATTGAAAACTTTCTAATTAGATTGACATTTGAAGGGTTTCTACAAATGTTTTGTTATAATTTGTATTATTCCATAATAGTTAAATATAATAAATAAAAAAATAGTGGGACATACAAATTCATTTTAGGGAAGTTAGTGCTGTCAAATATGCATGGGCTGATGTTTAACATACGTATAGAGGATCATTTTTGTTATTTGAGGAATACAGAAATTTTAATTGAAGTTTTTAGAAATATGGACTGGTTGCAATTGGGCTTTAAAGTTAGTTTACATATGGAGTTTGACTATGTTGACCTCCCATATCTATAGTCGTGATACTTGCTGCTCTTGCTCGAGTCGATTGTCTGTTTTCTTCTTTTCTCTAGTTCTGCTGCTGCTTTAAAAAGTCTTATGGAATCCTTATGTTAAATCAGCTGACCACATTAATTCGTCAGTAGCTATTTTTGATGTATGTGATTCTTTTTGAAGCAGTTCTATTGAGTATCATATGGCATGATCTATGAAACTGTGACTTGTAATTGGATGATTTGAGGGGCAGCCAACTTTGGAGAATTTAGCACTTACAAATTATATAATGTGAGGCATGTAATACATCTAATAAAATCTCATATTTTCAATCTCTTTGAGTGACGTTATTTGCTTGTCTTGGCAGGGGGCCTGTATTTTCTCAACTTAGTTAATTCGTTATTTGTCTTTTTTGGTTTGCATATTAACTTGTTGAATTCTTTAATTGTTCTCTTTTTTCCTATATATTTTGTTTTTGTTCCTTATATAGACGAATGCTCGCATGTATGCAGAGTTGATTAGTGATATGTGTTTTTGTGTTGATCTTGAACTAATTATGTATTTTACTTCATTTTGTTTACCAATTTACTATTATTGAACCCTTTTTTCTTAGCTTTGACCATTCGATCTAAGCGTTCACTTGTTTGCTGAATTTATTAGTAGCTTATGTCTTTTGATTTCGTCAATAATGCTGAGAGTGGTCATTGAAGCTCTACCTTTTCAAGAAAAAAGAAATAAACCTCATGTTTTCCTAAACCTTTTTTTTCCAATTAAATTAAATTTTCTGAAACATGACAGTAAGATTAGCTGAATAGCTCAATAAATTATTGTTCGTTTCTGTCAGAAGACAATGTTTCTTAGGACAACCCAAGGAAATAGGAGTTCACAATGCAACTTTATGGTTGGAAATCTTCCAAATTTTCAAAAAATATTTTTGCCCAGGCAGAGGGCTGCCTGTAAAACTCAAAGATTTAAAAATTCTGGTGGTGCTCTTCGTGCAACATGCCATGATGAGAAAATCCTTGTGGCAAATAGAGGCGAGATTGCAGTTCGCGTCATTAGGACTGCTCATGAGATGGGAATACCATGTGTAGCTGTGCACTCTACAATAGATAAGGACGCTCTTCATGTGAGGCTAGCAGATGAGGCAGTGTGCATTGGGGAAGCTCCAAGCAGTCAATCGTAAGTAAGATGTATACTCCTTCATATTCCCTGTCATTCCTTCAAAAAAAAAATCTATAAATTACATATTTAAATCATTTTGCAAATAATGCTCGATTTCCTTTACCTTTCATCGCACTTTACTTACATTTTAGTCTAGTACATGTTGCAATTCCTCTGTGGTTTCATATCTTTGAAGGATTTACATAGCACCTTAACTTCAATTTTTACATACATGCCACCTTGCCTATGCATGAAAAGGTTTTTCACTTTTTAATAGTTAAAATGGTGGTATTTTGATGTGATGAAAGATTTAGGTGGTATAAATTTAAAAAGTAAAGGTTAGGTGTTAAATTTGTATATACATAAGAATTGGGTGGTATTTAGGTAAATGCCTCTATTTTCTTTCATTGTTGTACATTTATGGCAGGTACTTGTTCATCCCAAATGTTCTCTCTGCTGCTGTTAGCCATAGATGCACTATGCTACATCCTGGCTATGGTTTTTTGGCTGAGAATGCTGGCTTTGTTGATATATGTAAAGAACATGGAATCAACTTTATTGGCCCTAATGTAAGTAAAATCTTAGTGAATGGTTTAAAGATTGAAGTTTCTAAAGCAATCCTGTTTTATTTTCCTATGGAATTTCTACAGTTGTTCTTATAATTCTTAATCACAGCAATAAATGTTTAATGAGTTTAGCTTTATCATTTGGTTTCAATTTTCAAACGGGAATATGAATATTTTTGGCTTATAGATGTGCAAATTTCATGTCATGAAGTCGATTATAAATTATTGAACTTCACCGCCCCTCCTTTATTTTGCATTTATTGGACAGCTTGCTTTATGCTTCCGTCTCTTCTTCATGTGTGGGATGATTTATTAACAATTTGTTCATGCTATTCCAGCCTGACAGTATTCGAGTTATGGGTGACAAATCTACTGCCCGAGAAACAATGAAGAAAGCAGGTGTCCCAACTGTTCCTGGAAGTGAAGGACTGCTGCAGGTATTATATAATTTCTAATAATGTTATGGACCCATCAGCATAACTTGCAGAATATCCAAAGTGTTTTTAATTGTAACCTCTTTCTAACTTTGAAAATTTTTCAAACCTATCAGTCCACTGAAGAAGCTATCAAGCTTGCCCATGAAATCGGTTTTCCTGTCATGATCAAGGTATTAATCTTGCTTTACAACTGAAATTATGCAGGTATCAGTATGCTTCATCCTAGATACTCAGTTATAATAATTAAATTAAAGTTTCAGAAACAAAAATTATGAAGAAAACAGGTTGAAATTGAGTCTTTTTAAAAACAGTCACGTTTTGTTTTTATTTTTATTCTTTCTTTTGTTTTAAAAAATATATTTGTTTAGTGTATTTTTTGTTTGTTTTTATTTCTGTTTTTAAAACAAATCAATTTATTTTTGAAAATGCTCAAAATAGCTTTTGTGTGTTTTGAATGATTTTAAAAACAGCCTTTTCAACTAAACATATTTTATTTCAAATCAAAATATAAACAAAACAAAGAAAAAAAAAAAAAAAAGAAAAGTGAAAAATGAAAAAAAAAAAAAAAAGAAAAAGTGAAAAAGGGGAAGGTTCCAACATACTATAATAGGTCTAGAAACAAAAGCCTATTCTGTTAATATGCTTCTGTTCCCCAAAGCATTAATAAACTAACCTTTCCTTTTTGTTAGAGTTTATTCATGGTTAAATGTGGATTGCGAAAAGATATCATGTTAATGTGTCTTATTTTGTTGGAAGGCAGGTGTTATGTGCTTTTCATGGAGCCTGCAATCCTTTTTTTATTTTCTTTCATATCTTAGCCTGTAGGATGTTTATTGAGCTTGTTAGATACACTTATGAATTATGATAATTGGTTAGTGTTTATAACATTAAATCTATATTTCTACCTTATGAAGGCAACTGCTGGTGGTGGAGGAAGGGGAATGCGACTAGCACTTGAGCCTGGTGAATTTGTGAAATTACTACAGGTATTTTTTATGCCAAAAATTTTCTTTTCTAAAGTTGATACCTGTTTTATGCGGCTAAATTTCATCATCAAAATTCTTGATACATTATACAGATACTGTTATTTCATGTATTGATATTTGTGGAATTTTGAGTTTCTTTTTTCAGCTTTATCTGTTTTTATCATTTGCTTGTTATGTTGGATGTCTTTCCTTATGTGTTTATTTTTTTTTGGTAAGTTATAATAATCTTAATTATGTTTGTCTTAGCTTTCCCCCATATAATAAGGGTAAATGTTGTAATTTTAACATTAAGAAAGAAAAGAATATAGTTTTTCCACATTTCTTCACTATATCAACGGAAGGAAATAGAACCTAGCTCTCTTTCCTCTGCCAGAGCCTCTCCTTGCAGCTACCATTCCCTGCATGCCCTTTGTCAGATCCTTTCCTCGCTACTGTCTCCATGCAGGCCCTCCATCAGATCCTCTCCTTGCAGCCAGCTACCTGCAGGCTTCTCCCTGTAGGCTTCCAGGCATTCCTCCTTGTTGGCTTCCAAACGTTTCCCAGACTTCTTCTAGGCGTCCTCTCTCTGCTGTCTTTCATTGGAGCAGCCACAGATAACGACCACTTCCCAACTGCAGGTAATAGCCAGCCAGCTAGCCAGCCAGCAGCCGCATGAAGCTCCGTTCTGAGTACATAGAGGAGCTGTAACAACCAATTGGCAAGATAGGAGGAAGGACCAGGATAACAAGGCCCATGCTGCTACCTCTTCTGAAGGGTTGAATGATCTTAGTTCATTCTCCAAGGAACAACTGGAGGTGTTGAATAAGCTTTTTATTAACATGACCCAACAGCCTACCGGCTTGATGATACACTAAGGTATCATATTCTCTTGTCTTGCCAACAATGGAAGATACCATCATTGGATAATAGATTTAGGTGCTTATGATCACATGTTTGGAGGCAGTCATGCATAATTAATTACCAAGAGATAACTAACCCCAAATTTATTAGACTTGCCGTTGGATCTCACTTCAAGATTACGGGGAAGGAGATGTGAATCTCTTCAAAAATATTCAATTTTCTTCTGTATTATATGTTCCCCAACTAGATTGCAACTTACTTTCAATTATCAAGCTGACTCATGACTTAAACTCTTTTAAATTTTAGGTGGTGGATTCAGGGAATGTGATTGACAGTGCTGAATTAAATCAAGGTCTATACACACTCAAGGAGATTTATTCTCTCAACACCAAAATGTCTTCTCCACTATCCTCTTCTCATGTTTTCGAGTCTTCTGTGTTGAGTCTGTTGAAAGTCTCTTATGGCATTTTCTTCTGGGCCATCTCAATTTTCATTATATTGTAAACTTGTACCCCCATCTCTTTATTAATAAAAACCAATCTTATTAGTGTGAAACCTGCCTATTAGCTTAACACAAGTGTCTTTTCCATTAACCTCTTCTCATGTTCTCGAGTCAGTTTTGTTTGAGTATGTTGAAAGTCAAGTTTTATTATGACATTGTGGTTTGGGTGACGCAGAGCTGGGCATGGGAGGGCCGGATGAACCCGCCCTGTCCGGTCCAGGCTTGCTGGACTGACAGGCCCCCATAGGGAAGGGGATTTGCCGTCCATATATGCGTAACTTCCCTTTCCTTTTTCTCTATTTCCCTCATTTTTTTTCCTTTTCCATTAATCTCCCTCCTAATTCTTGCTTATTCTAGGCTTTTTTTTCTAAGGCCCCGTTTGGGGCAGCTTAAAACAGCGGGCGACATTTTGAAATGCCGCACTGTTGTTTGTTTTGCACGTTTCAACGACGTTTTGAAAATCGCAGTTTCTATTTTGCAAATAATGTCGCCCGCAGGATGATCCCCACGGGCGGCGTTTCCTTCGTCGAGTTTAGTCTCGAATTTTACTCCGCTGCCCTCCAATCGCGATCAAACTCTCTATGCTAGCTCCTCCCGGATTCAACATTCCTTTTCCTTCGGTCGTGATCTAGCTTGCAGAGCCGCTCCCTGCTTCTTCGGCACTCCTCCAGGTAAGGCATGTTCCTTCGGCACTGCTTCCTTAGCAGGCAAACTGCTTCCCTGCTTCTCATCCTCCTTCTCCTCCACTACCTCCTCCACCAACATCCTCCCATCGACTGCCAAAGTGATCGACTTCGATGGCTCACTTATCAAATTCTCTCGGCCGGTTAAAGTATCCCAGGTTCTTGGCCAAAACCAAATCTCCTCTATTCTTTATAACGTCGACATCATCTTCTACGGCCAATTCTTTCAAGCATTGCACCCGACCAACTCATTGGACCAGGTTAGCTCTACTTCGTTCTTCCAACGGCGAAGCTCGAATATTGCTTCACGATGACGGATATGGTGGTGTTGGTCAACACTAGCTCTATTTTCACCGCTGCGGGATTGATGAAGGCGGCGAGGATCGATGGAAAAAATAGGAGGAAGAGAAGTTTTGTTGAGGTTACGCCGATTATAGAAAAGTTGGATTTTGATTGTTATAAGAGGATCAGTGACGTTAGTGTTGGGAGTTGGAGATATGATTTGGGAGAGAAGAAGAGCTTTGGGTTTTAGGATATTGTAATCCTTGAAGCAGATTTGAGTGGGATTGAAGAAGTTTGCTTTGTTATGTGGTTAATTAATATGTACAGTTCTTTCTTTCTATTGTCTTGCAAAATTCATTGTTGGAATTATATTTTTTCATACTTATTGAGGTTTTCATAATAATGTTCAATTAGTAAATAAGGAAGGGATTTGAGTAGAAAAAATATTATGTACGTCATCTGGATTACACCGTTAATCACACCATGTCATCGTGCAAGCGGTGTCATGCGACACTTCAAGCCATCATTCGAACATCCGGTGGTTCGGACATAATATTTTTCAATTGATTGGGATTGTTATCATCACATTATTAGCATGTATCTAAATGTACTCATAATTAATAATTAATAAGTAATAAGATGATAATGATTAAGCACCTCAGTTTAAAAAAAAATATGCAATTGAATTACTTTAAATTTGTGATACTATGATTTTTCTATAAGAGAATTTTATCATTTTATATTGATTTTGTGTTGTGTGGTCGTACTTTTTAAGTGTTTTGTGGTCACACAAACCAAACAACTAAACAACTTATCCAGATCAGAGGCAGAAGGGTCATTTATCCAGAAACAACTGAAAATCAGCTGTTTTCCAAAAGCACAAACCAAACAGACAACCAACCGCTAATTAACAGCTTATTAGAATAAGCTGCTTATCTGGATAAGTTGAATAAGCTGCAGCTGCCCCAAACAGACCCTAAGTTATTACTTATTCTGATTATTACCTATTCCTAATTGCTAAACACTATTATATCTTGGTCTTGTTTGTCTAGGTGAAGGTGGTTGATTTTGTTTTCTGAATTCAGAGCCCGCCACCAGTGTTTTCTTTTATGAGGGCTGTATTTAATGACGAGAATGTGCTCTGGCTATAACTCATATGGGGTGGTGACTATCTCTGCTATTCCTTAGTTCCTGCTATCACCAACTCCATCTCATGCTTCCAAATTTGCCGCAACCATCCTCATGTACCTCTACGAGGCCACAACATTCATCGTATGTGTCCGGGACACCGCTACTGCATACACCCGTATTGAGAAGGTGCCACTGTCTCCTTTCCTGCGATCCCCTCATTGTCATCGATGCCTCACCTGCTTATCAACTGTCGCCATGCCCTTTCTTGCGATCTCAGAGAGCCGCTGATCGCATCACCTGCTTCCAGGTTATCGCAAAGGCCCTTCCTTGCGATTCTAGAGGATCTTAGCCCCCAGCCGTGATACCAGACTGCCGCAGAGTCTCTCTCCGGGTTTTCACCTGACGGCTGACTCCTTCAGGCCCGTCTAGCCGGTTGCCAACCACTTCTAGCTCATCCAGACATTCACCCGCACTTGCTGGCTCGCCGATACCACAACACTTGTTGTCCCACAACTTCTATCAGCCATCTGCACCAGCTGCTCCCTCCGCTTGCGGTCCCCAGCCACCCTCCTCTCTCTCACCACTGTCGTTCATGGATACCCTCCTCCAACCACTGCCGGATCGTGCTAGTCCTATCTTCATTTTTGTTTTCTTTATTGGTTCGAGTCTCGATTGTAACTGTTGTTATTTTCTTAATAAAATTTGTCTTCCATAGTCGTGGGTTGAGCTAACTCCGTTATCATTTAGTGTGAGAGCTAGCCTAATCCTAGTCCTATCTTAGGGTTCCTTAGAGTCTGCTATTTTTCTTTCTTTTTCTTCTTTCTTTTTCTCCCCTTTCTTTCTTTTCCTTCCCTCTTTTTTTTTTCTTTTTATTCCTATCTTTTCGTTCTTTCTTTTCTCGTTTACCTGTTCTTCCGGAGGTCCTAAACCTTCAACCATGCCTTTGAGAAGGTACATATCATATCTTAACTGGTGTGAAATACAATAGGAGATCCATCGTCTGCAACAAAAATTAACAGAGATTGCTGATGGTATCCAAGGTGAAATTATTCTCGACTGCAATTGCGAAAGTCGAAGGGATGACAGGGATGAATATCTGAACCCATTTCAAAGGGAAGACACCCGCCATGAAGAATGCCGACCGTATCGCTTTGGACTACTATGTCAGAGGAGGCCACATCTGGAGACCAGGCATTAAGATGGATCTTCTAAAATTTGAATGAGGTATGGATCCAGATGAAATTATCGATTGATTACATTTAGTTGAACGAATCTTAGAGTATAAGGATGTGCCTAAGGCTAAATAGGTCAAGCTAGCTGCCATCAAACAGAATAAGATTGGCTCTTTATGGTGGGAGAATTTGCAGAGGTAGAGAGTAAAATGCAAGGAAAAGATAAGTGGGAGAAGTTGAAGAAGGCAATGCAAGAGTTCCTTCTACCTCAACATCGCTAGGACATGTTTTTGAATCTCCACCACTTGCAACAATGAGATCTTTCTTGGAGGAGTTGACAGCCTAGTTCGACCGTTTACAACTGAAGTGTGAACTGGCAAAGCTAGAAGA